TCTTTGGTTAGCAAGTCTGTAAAATGTGAATTAACTATCAATAATCCAGTTTGTAATTGGGATGATCTGAAACTATATGGCCCAAAATATACAATTTACTACCAAGTCCAGTGTCTGTTAGTTGTCAGAATATTGTTTTGCAGTATACCATAAGCATTAACTGTAGAGGTTTATGTAAAAAACAAAAAACACAATATTGCAATGCTTATATCCCAGAACTATTGCAGTTTTTAGTTGAAACTGCACTATGTTGTTGTTGCATTCATTTGTGATGAAACGTAACATAGATACAGTTTAATCACTCATTGTAGAGGAAAACGTATTCTGTTCTGCTGCTTGTAAGCAAATATGAATGATTTGGCCTCTTTCGTTCCTAATTCACCCAAAGTTGTTGTATTTATGAAGGCTTTTTGACTCTTCCTACTGAGCTTTTTGGTTCTTCAATCAGCTCTTTTTGGAGACAATACCTGCTTACATTCCACCCTCACCTCACTGTACTTTGAACTTTTATTGCAAATGACATTAGTTTTTTTTCTTTCTTGCCAGCCTACATAATTTAAACTAAAGTGCTGTGCTAATTTTTGCAATGTATTTACATTGTTTACTTCTGTGCCAGCTCTGGAGACTAGACTAGAAATTAAAAGTGATAAAAAACACAAATCCATTTAATAAAATTTAAGTTAAGATTTGCATTTCTGTGAAATTGTACTCATAAAATCACTTTGCATTAGTGTCAATAAATGTTAAATATTGATAAAATCAATAAAAATTGTTCCATAGCAAAAAAAAAATGGATGGTTGGTAAAAAGTTCTGATCAGAATAGTAGAAATGTCTGACATGCAGTGTTGGACTTTTTTTTTGTTTTTCTGTCACAGAGAAAAAAACATATGTTATTTATTTTAAAAGTAACACTATTAGTAGCATGTCTATAGAGTTTAGTGACAGAGAAGTAAAGCGGTTTGAGTCATATTTAAACAATGTAGCAGATAATTATTTGGTGAAAGTGTTCTGGTTGTGGTGGGAGGTTGTTGAAATGATCTCTTTGAACAGATGTTGCGTTACAGTGACTAGTGTGCGGTGTCTGAAGACCATTCCCAGATGCAAAACCCATTTCTCTAGCTGTCTCACCATGTAATTTGTCTTTTGACAACGTGCAGTAAAGTGACATAACACCAGAGTAATCAGGGATACTTTGTCTAGAACGGAAAACACAAAGGCATGCCTCAGATTCCTTTTCTAAGCTCCTGGAAGTAAAACAGAAATGTTAACTCAATAATATGAGCAATGCATTGTTAATTCATCAAGCCACTTTGTTTTTGAACTCTTTCTGGTCAGAGGTTTCCAACTGTTACCCAAGGCATGAGCTGTTGACACGCCGGTCAGGCTTCTATTCTCAAATTTGGTTTTTATAGTCCATGTCTGCAGCTGCCCCTCCGCTTCAAAAAGAGAGAATCAGGCTGTTGTTGAGGCGAGGGTTTATCATTGCTGCTGGACACTTTTTCCACTGGTGTAATGGAAAATTAGATAACCAGTTGTCTCCAAGAAATTATTTTATATCCAAAGATAATGACTCCTTATTTCTTGTTGGAAAATATTATTATGCAATTGGTAAAATTAACACGTATTTATATCAAGTATGGTTGATTGATTATACTTCAGTTGTGTCCATCAAGCAAGCTACTGTCTGATGCTCTGTTTTTCACATCATATTCTAAAAATGAGCAACTAGTGTGTATCACTGACCAGGCTGGAGTATATTCTTTTATGATTTCTAAAAGTTTATGAGGCATGTGTTTAGTTTTTTTTTGTGTGTGCTTTGCAGATAAAAACAGCTGGGAAGATAGACATTACTTGACATGAATGTAAAGACTAATCTCTATGCAGTATAATGTTAAACATCTGTATCTCCAAGCTAGGGTGTCTAATGGACTGTCTTCATTAGAGCTGTATCCTGTAGATGCAGCAGACCCACTTGCACATCTGGCTCGCTGGGTTGATGAGAAGTGCAGTCCTGTGTTTCTGTAACTTTTCCAGGCAAGGACAAAGCTTGTTTAATTTGCTTGGCAAGGACAAACCTGTGTCCAGGCGAAACATTTTTCTTTATGGTGCAACCTCATTCCTGGTGTTCTCTGACTATGACTGACAAGGCTTTCCTCAGGCAGTGTGCTGGGCTGAGTCTGGCATAGTTAAGTGTGTATGGAAATCATGTACATATGCAAACTTGGGACTTTTGTAAGTTCAGTTCTGTTCGTTTCATCAAGATACACCAGCATACAAACAAGCTGCCTATCAAACTTTGCACATGTGCTTATGTTATAGTATTTATAAATGTGCCATGTAACTACAAAACATTACTGTACATCTGATACTGTGTTGGTAATTTTCCATTAGCCAGTGTAATTTCTAAATTAGGGGGATCAGTAGACCATAGGGCATTGTGCAGTCTGATCTTTATTTAACATCAAGTCCCATATAGTGCATTACATTTGTTAAATAACAGAGAATGTTTGATGAAGAACATCTGGAGCATCAGGAGTCTCATGTTCAGTGTATGGCCTTGCTGGAGGCTATCAATAAACCTACACTACTTGCAGAGTTGATTTTAAATGGCGATATACAGTATATGTTCCTATATAATGTTATGACTTTCAGCAAAACCACATTTATGCCTTCTGCATAAATTGGGGTTTTATTGTCCCAAAGCCTTTTGGGACAGTAAAATCTTGAACTAACTGCCCGAACAATTGCAGCACAAAGATCCATCCTGAGAATAAGCTCATTAAGGTTACTAAGTACCCTGATACAAAGGCACATCTGCCTTGTGTTCAAATCTTTGTCTTTATTTTCCAAATGCCTTGAATATCATCACTCACATTTTCCAACAGGAAGCTGTTCACAGATAAAAGTCCACTGTCGTACCAGTAACAAAATGCTGCTATTGAACTAAAAATATTTGCTTTTCCATTGATCTGTCTTGTTTGTGAGCTATTTTAAATTTGACATTTATCAGATTTGAATGGAAAATCTGCACAGAGTGTACGTCAGACAGACAACTCTCTTAGTATATGTGGTGTTCAGTATTGCGGGATAATCATAGCAGCTTGTAATGTGAATTGTAAATTTATGTCATAGACATAAGCAAGCAATGTCATTATTTAGGTGGACAAAAACTCTCCCAAACTCCCAACATCTACATCCGTAGGCATGGAACATATAAATGAGACAAAGATCCATATATGCATATGGAAGAATGGATGATAGTAGACTTTATCTACACTGCGTAATTGTCATCTACATCAACTGAGTTTATCCCCAGTACCAAAGAGATCCGGGCTGCGAGCTGTGTCCTCTGGCTCTCATCAAGAGGATTTGTGCCAAGTGGCCAGAGGTGGCAGAGCATGCAGGACATACTCACATAGTACTTGGTTGCTGTAGACAGAGCAGATCTTAAATAACTACTATATCTGCCAGGCTTACAAAGCTCAAGAGAGGGCTGTTTGTACGTGAATACTTGTGTATGTGGCTGATAACGGTGAGTTAGGATCAGTAACAAACAACTGTGACCTCTGCAGAACTGATAGGACGATTCCCTCAAAACACGACAGAGAGTTATCAAAGAATCAAGGAAATTTATTTTTCATTATACAACACAAGGTTGTATAACGAAATGAAAGTTTGATAGCTAACTTATATGCTTTTTGTCATTAAAAATTGCAGGTACCCATTGTCTTTGTCATTGGCAAAAATGCTGTTTTACATAACTGTTTAAACATAACTGTACCCCAAATCCATCACAGCTGTCCACTTAAATCCACAAAGAAAATGAAAAATGCAGCATCATTAAGGTTTTTCTTTCTGTGCAGACATGTCGCCTTTACGAGGTCAGTGAAGTAGGACAGTCTCTCAAAAAAGAGGACGAGTGGGGATAATTTTGGTGCACCTCTTTTTCAATGTTTAATTGAAGTCATTACCTATGTACACTTAACTTTGCTTGTCATGCTTTGTTTGTCTTCATTCTGCTGTCATCCTTTAGAGGTGATGCTCCATATACAGCTGTAGTTTGTAGGACTACTCAGTTAAGCATATGCATGAAATCCTAAATGTTACACATAGAGAGAGAGAGAGAGAGTGGGAGTGTGTGTGTGTGTGTGTTTGTGTGTAAGAGAGAGAGAGGAAGACAGAGGGGGGCATCTTGGCCAACCCCTGGTTGACCCTTGTTCACCCCTTCTCTCTCGCTCCGCCCTGCATGAGTCTTCTTCTAAACATGTGTGCAGCTGTCAGCTGGCAAGTGTTTGTGCGAGTGTGTGTTGTGTGTGCATGTGTGTGTGCGTTTGGACAAAGATCATTTTTCATGTTTCAATTAATTTTTGCGTCTCAGGAAAAAAAGTTGCATGAAATTACGGGATATATCAAGACAATGATTCTTTTTTTCTCTAACTTGCGACACTGCAACTTATGAACATAGCTCAATAGAATATGTTATACGTTGTCAAAAGTGACTTCAGTATCTGTCATAGAAACAGGTTTTGCAAAGTACTGTATCAGATGAAAGACTTAATAATAATTATCTTTTTTATTTTGTCATCACAACAAAACTAGTTATTATAGTGTCAACATATTCTTGGCTTTTCTTTTTTACCAATTGCCCCTAATTGAGACAATTGGAGTTTGTTGTCGCAGATTTTCATTATGAGCTGGTGGATTTTTTGCTAAATATTGCTTGAGGTGTTTTTATCGCAGCAAAGCCAGAGTGAAGTTCAGCCTGTTTATTAGTCTGAGGCAAAGTTGATAATGTCTCTAGTGACAACATCTGGTGGTCACATGAGAGAGTTGCTGGCTTGGTCCATAGAGATGATGATTGGCTCCATTTCTGTCTCTCTGTCCTCTTTGTCTCGCTGTTTCTCCTAAAACACCAACACGCAATCATAAACCAAACTATAATCTAGTCTGTGTCTGTAGTTGTTAATAACGTTAAGTTTTTCTCTTTCTCTCTTTTTAGCTGCGGCTCCAAAGTTAAAACCGATGAAGAATCCAATACTAGTGGATGAGGGAAGCAAGCTCACAGTTAAGTGTGAGGCAACAGGGAACCCTGTCCCTACCTACAGATGGTTCAAAGATGGCACTGAGCTGAAGAAAAGCAAAAAAGTCAAAATAAGGAACAGCCCGTGAGTACAAATCACCCATGTCCTGTAAACCTAACACCGTGTAAGATGAAAAGAGGTATTCCAAAGTGGAAGAAAAGGTTGCTATTATCAGCAGACTGTGCTGATGCAGTTTTTCAGGAAACTGCAGTTTGAAACTAATTGAAAAATCAATATCAATATAAAAATTGAACATTTACTTCATATTTGGGACTATAAAGGTTTATTCCTTCATTGAAATGTAGTGTGATGATTTACAATAAATCCAGTGAATTTATCATCCCTTTTCATTCCAATTTAAACTTTCTCATGCAAATAAAAAGATACATTAAATAAAACACATCCACCATCAATTCAGCACATTCGTAAGTTACCACTAGTCAGGTTTTGCTTAAGGGAGTTTAATCAACTTCAGCAAGACATTACTGTGTATTGAACTGACCTTACAAAGTCATTTTACTGATTGCTGGTACTGTTAGATTATGTTTTAGCATGTCACAGTTAAACATTTGTTAACACTTCAGTCAGCTTCTTTTTTTAAACACAAAGAATTATAATTGACCTTGTTTGTAGTATGAGTCATCCTGTCAAAGGTTTTACAGACGTCTCTGTAATGATAGCAGTTTTGTTGCAGTTCCACAGTTGGCCACTGGGGCAAGCTAGCAGTGAGGCTGACTTGTGCCACCATATGCAACTCCCCTAATACATCATTGTCCCTGTTCTACTTTCTCTCAGTCAGGTTGACTAATGATGACATAATCAAGTAAAAGAAAAAAGAAAAAAGAACTTAAGTAGACTGTATAGTAATATTACCGTTTACTTTATTGAAATGGGGTGGAGCTTTAAATTCAAGAACCCATTATTTATATATAGTACTCTAGGTAATTGTAACACTCCTAGGCTTTCTTATTGTATATTTTTCTTCCCCTCATATGTTGGCCCAGAGAAGGGGGTATAAATCCCTATTAAAGCAGAGAGTTATTGCCATGCTGCTGCTTGCCCTGTTGTCTGCCTCTGTGTCCTCCATGTTTCCACTTGTTGCGTTTCCATGCTATTTCCTCCCTGCCCTGATTCCCCTGACTCAGCTGTGCAAGTGTTTGTCTCCCACAGGAAAAACTCCAGAGTCCAGATCAGCAGAGCAAAACTGGAGGATTCTGGGAATTACACATGTGTGGTGGAGAACCTGCTGGGAAAGGACAACTCCACTGGCACTGTTAACGTCCAAAGCAGTGAGTACTGACTCCTAAGCAACAAGTGAAGTGGCACAGATGTACATTGTTGTTGTTGTTCGGACTGTTCTTTTGCCAAATGAGAGATCAAAAGGACCCATTGCAAACAGGCGTGTAACAATGGTAACATGCATGAAGAACAACTGTCCACACATGTGGCTGTGGAGCGTTAATCAGTGGAACAGTACATTGTACTTGGAGGTGAATGGAATTTAAATGCAATGTCTGGTATGATCTCTTATTTTTTCATTCACTGCATTCTGCTAGAAATGTGAAATCCCACAAAAGTACGCCACACAGTGCCTTTGACCGTCACTAGCACACAACAAATGCTGCAGACTATAGAGTATAAAATCTAAAACATAACTCGACAGAATATGAAAGTTGTAGGAAAGAAAAAAAGTGTTTAAATCTTAAGAGTGTGTGTGATAGAATCTAACACGCTCGTTCAGTAGTGGCGTGTGTGCATTTCTGAGTTTTGCAAAGTACTGTAGCAGATGAAAGAGTTTTGATAACAGCTGCTTCCATTTGGTGGGGTGGTGAGTTTGTGTTTGTTCCAAGCAGTGCGGGTAGTGAGTGTGTGGCTGATGTAGGTAGCTTGTTGTCTGAGTGGATGGATCCAGTATTGAAAAAAAAGTATATATAAGGAGATACAATTCAGGCAGGTTTGCTTTGGCCTCGATCAAGAAAGGATTTGATGCTATCTGGCAGAAAACTATACGGGGGTTATCTGGTACACATGACTCAGAAACTGCTTGATGTGCATGAACGTCCTGTTCACTTGACTGCTCTTTCCGTTTCAACTTAAGGTGCATGACGACATAGTCATGCTTTTGCAGGTGAACTGTGTCTGAGATGATCGATATATTCACTACATTTTCACTGCTTTTGGAGAATCAAGGCGTTAACATAATGTGGGTTCCTCACATTGCACCACAGAGGAGATATTCTCATTCTTGTCACTGACCTTGACAGCAACTGGTGTAAGAGGTATAGCTGGTAAGGAAAAGGGAGGGACTGGAGTTTAGCCATCACTCACTGTCCTTGTATTCACTTTCAGGCACAATAATCACTCCCCCTTCTCTCTTTATATTTGTCAAGGCCACCTTTTAGCGCCATTGTTTACGGT